GAGACAGTGCGTGGCCCAGAGAAATGGAAGGGTTGAGTGGACTTTACATTTGTCTTAGGTGAGATGTCATAATTGACCTGATGAGACTGATGTCTCAGGGCTCTTGATACTGATGGTTTGGTTACACTGAGAAGTGTTTTCCATGAAGGGGCTGTTAAGTGTTGGCTTATGGTAAATGTAAAAGGGGGCTTGATATTAGAGCGAAGTATCAAGGGTTATGGGACCAATAATTAGGTGGGTAGTTGCAGAGAAGTTAGAGAAGTTAGTGAAATATGTCTGAAAGAGTTTGGTGGCCCTGTCTGTCAGGTCTGTAGGGTATGATTTAAGGAGGGTGTTGCTTTGACTGTGAAAGGTTGGGCCTATGTCGTTTTGTAGAAAAAGTTGAGGCTGATTTCAAGGTGGGGATTGTCATGTAAGCTGAAAATAAGAGAGACAAGCACAGCCAGAAATCTTGAACTAAAGAGGGATTTGTCCATTTAAAGGTTGAAGATGAGATTGAGGAAGTGTTGTAAATGTGAAGCTACAGGTTAATCTTGGTAATGGTAAAATGTAATTTTGAAAGTATATCTTGTCCCATTAATGGGGTGGGACAGGTTGGGAGCCCTAGAAAGGAATGTGTGATGGTTTAAGATGCAAGGCAGAAGCTTGGTATAGAGTAGTTTGGAGATAAGGTCATCAACCCCTATGACAGAGACAGAGGCAAGGACTAAAAGTTCTACACATTTCTGTAAAGACAAAGACATTGTTCCCATATCCAAAAGAAAAGAGTTAGGCTTACCTGCTACCTTTAGACAAACCCTGGGTTCTGTTTTGGTCATGGAAGCTTTAGAACTGGGGCTGAGCCAGTGGTCAGCGCAAGTCCCAACAGACTGGGAAAGGACTGGTCAGAGTTGGTCTTCGATTTGGAATGATTGGCTCCATTCCCAGAGGTCTGGGGAAAATCTGATTGTTCCTTTAGCTCAGCGGAGGAAAGGATGGTTTCTGAACTTACTTTAATCTTGTGCTGTTTTTAGTTCCACTGGAGTAGTGTTTCATTGTTGTCCAGTAGGTGCCAGGCAGAGTGTGCTATCAAAGATGTTGGGTGCTGAATATTTAACCCTTGCATCACTATATTTATTTTAATGAATCAGCAAAGCCAATCATTGAGAAGGGATGAAGTGGTTACATTTGTACCTGTTTTGAGCCTAGTGGAGATGTTGTTAAGGGCATTTTGAGTTTGCTGATCATCACAGGTAGGGTGACTTTGAGCTTAGAGTTGTGAGACCCGTGCTAGATGATGAGCTCTTTGTGTAGTAAGTGTTAAGTGTTAGTCTGAGGTCTGTTATTAAGAACTGGCTTCTGGAAAAAAGTTTTGGATTCTGGAAAAAATAAACAGGAGAAGATAGTTGTACAAATATGAACCAAAAATAATTATTTAAGAACAATCATTAATAGCAATTTTCACCAAAGTTTGAAATCTAGACCGAAATAATGTCTTTTGTGGTAGTCTTAATCAGGCACTTATGTGTAAGAACCCTTCCTTATAACCTCTTGGCTCTAATGATCTTTTGGTAGGGTTGAGAAAAGTGACTCCATTTTGATTTTTTCAGCTTTCATACTTTCTAATATCTTGTCTTATCTTGAAGGCATTGTTGATTAGTTATTGTGTATTGTCACTTATTGCTGGGCTTTGTTGCAGTTATTGGCTTATTTGGTCCCACATGGGAAAGGAAGACATTGATGATTTAGAGTTAATGTCATACCCCTTTTTAGCCACATTTGAGCAACATAAAGGCTTAAAGGGAACAGATCCTAGGTCTAACTAAACTAACAAGGGTAAAAACAGAATAGCAAAATGTATTTTTTCTTTTATAAGCTTCATCCTTCACAAACCTTTTGACATACATACTTGGATCTCCTAGTTTTGAGACCAGAAATATATCTTTACACTTAAAACATTTTTATATAAATTTTTTTTGTCTCTTTTATGGTTTTCTTTTGTAACAAGTGTATTAGCCACTTGGACTTGAAAATGTTCCTGGTACATTTTTATCTGTGAGTTAACTCACAGACATTACATTTTCATGTTAGCTGGCCGAAAAACAGACTTTTCAGTAACCTTGAATCAGCAAAAAGTGTCTTAGTACCAGCAAAAAGTAGAAAGAAGAGCAAAATGGGGCTAACAACCCTTTCAGATGTTATATGACAAATTATCTTAATACACGCAGAAACCGACAAAACATTAAGTTTAACCCTGTAACTGTAGTTTAAGAATTATCCCCCAAAATAAAAAATTTTTAAGGAATTAAAAAAAAATCCCAAAGCTGTTTATAAGAAATGTTTTAAGCACATCGATCAGACAAAAATATTAACTTAAACCACAGAATTTAAAGTAAATTTACCAATAAGTTAAGATGTTTTCCTAAGGGGCCCTCATTTCTTCATTACCTGGGCAGTCAGAAGGCTGCTTTTTTTCTTTTTTCTTTTTTTTT